TTCTTTGGTCACATAAAGAAATCCAGAGTGAGGTAGCATCTGTGACTCAAGCTGCTAAGGTGCCAGCCACATACACCAGAGCGGGTTCAAATCCGGCCCAGGCCTGCCAAACAATGACAACTACAACCAAAAAATAGCCAGGCGTGGCCAGTGCCTGTAGTCTCAGCTCCTTGGGAGGCTGAAGCAAGAGACTCGCTTAAACCCAGGAGTTTGAGGTTGCTGTGAGCTGTGACACCGTGGCACTCTATCCAGGGCAATAGCTTGAGGCTCTGTCTCAAGAAAAAAAAAAAGAAATCTAGAGAGATGAAAGTCACAGATGAACAAGTTAATTTCATATGGTGATAAAGGCAAGGAAAAAAAGAAAGAAGAAAAGGATAGAGAGGCCCAGGGGCAGGGAGGGGCTGTTCTGGATGTAGTGGTCATGAATGGCCTCCCAGAGGGGAGACATGTGAGTAGGGGCTGGAGTAAGGCTGCCAGGGTAGGGGGAGTGGGGGGACAGGAGAAGCTGCATCTTAGAATATGTGCAGAGGCACACGATAGGCCAGTCAGTGGCAGAGCAGGGCTGCACCTTCACATTTCCCAGCCCTTGAACTGGTTGTCCATTTTGTGGTGCCACTTCCTATCAGTCAGCCTGGTCTAATCCAAGGGCTATACATAATGATGAACCTCTGGGGTTGATGATTCTTGGCTGTAGCCTACTGACAGGACTGTTACTAATTTGGTAAAGGGAGTGGTAACTGCAAAGCACCTGGTGTACACCAGGCATGCTTTCCTTTTTTTTTTGAGACAGAGTCTTACTTTGTCCCCTTCAGTAGAGTTCTATGGCATCATAGCTCACAGCAACCTCAAACTCTTGGGCTCAAAACAATTCTCTTGCTTCAGCCTCCTAAGTAGCTGGGACTGCAGCCATCCAACTATTTTTAGAGACAGGGTCTTGCTTATGTTTAGGCTGGTCTGGAACTCATGAACTCAAGCAATCCACCTGCCTCAGGCTCCCAGAGTGCTAGGATTACAGGCCAGAACCACCACACCTAGCCAGGCATGCTTTATTCCTGATACTTTGTTTAATTTTAATAATACAGAGTGGCGGCTCCATATACCAAGGATGGTAGGTTCAAACCCGGCCCGGCAAAACTGCAACAAAAACAAAAAAATAAATCAGCCTCATGCTGTGACTCACACCTGTAATTCAAGCACTCTGGGAGGCCGAGGTGGATGGATTGCTTGAGCTTACGAGTTCGAGACCAGCCTGCGCAAAAGCTAGACCCCGTCTCTACTAAAAATAGAAAAACTAAGGCAAGAGGATCACTTGAGCCTGAGTTGGAGGTTAGAGGTCACTCTACCCAGGGCGACAGCTTGAGACTGTATCTCAAAGAAAAAAAAAAATTTTTTTTTAATAATGCCTATGAGGGTGGTGATGCCATCCCCATTTTACAGATAAGAACAGTAGAGAAAGTAGTGACTTACCTACAAACTTAAGGGGTGGCATGCAGCAGAGTACTGGGTCCCAGCGTGCCCCTGCCCCTTCTGCAGACCACTCTGCTGCCCCTGCCTAGGAGTCACCCACACCACACTCACCCTGGACTGTTGGGTGTCTCTATTAAGTAAAAGACCTATAGTGTCTCTCCCTCATTGGGGTGTGGTGCAGGGACTGTAGCAATGGTAGGTTATGAGCTGATGAGTGACTGGCATCCAGTCTCTTGAGACAGAAGTTTGGATTTTGATAGATGAATATTCTCTTTAGCAAACCACTTAAGCTGAGTTCCTTGTTCATTTATAGCAGTGCTTCTCAACGTTCCTAATGCCACAGCCC